CTACTACTACTACTACTACTACTACTACTACTACTACTACCATTAGGAGTAATAATCCTCCGTTACGTTTATAAAGTCCATAAGCACGCGCGGATCCACGAGGAAGAAAATTTCCCCATCTAAAATGTTTCAGTACCTGTTAATTTTAATTTGTCACGAAACTTTCAAGAAAAAAATATTTTCGGATAGTCGTTAAAATAATAAAATCGTATTACAGCAAATGCTGAGTGTATCCTGCGACATTTTACAAAATCTGTAATGACACATTCGACCAAAAAATTTTTAATTCCGTCTCCTAAAATTTGTCTCTGGATCCGTCCCTGCCGTAAGACTTAGTCTATAAGTCGTCAAGAGGACCGCCAGGTAACATCTCCGCGTTCGCGCCTCTCTCATACACGCTCCTGCGTCATCATGAACCCCAATATTTCTCATTCTAATATAAAATACCAATCTTATTATCTGGCTTAGCACTTGAATGAATTGAAAATGGACTCTATGATGAGGTGATATTACACATTGGCCAGAACCATAAAATAGCTCAGAAGGGTTATTTCAATGCGCTTTGAGTCGCGGAATCATTTGTATAATATTCACTCGCATGAATATAATTAGACAAATAAATATTTATTTACTTTTAATGCACCAGCATCTGTGTGACTTTTACACTTTACATAAATAGCTTGTAGCGTTGAAACCCTAGGCGCTAGCACTAGTAAAGAAAGCCCGCACTAGGGAAAAATAATACACCATTCCTTAAGGAAGTCTCGCTCACGCATAAGACACAATTTTGCTAAAGAACAATACGATTAGTGCGAGGTTGAATTTCGGTTCATGCCTCGGTAAACCGGCCCAGTATCTTTTTGCAGAAGATACGAGATTAATTACAGTTCATGCACTTATCGATTACCACACAATTGAAATACATTTACACAACACGCACGTTAGTGCTTATCCCGAACTGTCTAAAATAGGATTTTGATTTGCACAAAAGTTATAAAAACTTTCCGTGGTGAGCGGAGACCAGCTAGAATTTAATTTTACAGAACTTTTGCTGTCGTGCAAATGAGTTAGGTCATGAAGGATGTGAGAGCTGCTTTGTCCAATTCAATTAACGAATTCAAACGCTTCTAGATCTCCTAGCTTCGATCTCCTGGTTTTGTTCGAATAGGTGAGTTGTGTTGCGGCCACTAATCAGCACAGGGGAGTTCCCAGAATTGGACGCGCAAGTTGCACGCGTAATGTCATCTCCTGTGATCTCCATTTGTCTCGTTCGTTACAAGGGATATGAGACATATTTTCTAACCATTTGCAACTATCAAGAAAAAGCAATGACCAGATCACGCATTAGAAGATGCATTTTCTTCTTTCTCTTATATTACTACGTTGTAGAGAACGTTTTTGAAAGTTGCATGGGTAAAAATCGACAGAAAAACTATTTTGTGTGTATCTGATACCGAAAAGTGATTTTCGGCGTCGGCTGTCCACCTTTGACCAACACTAACGCGTAAACCGTGCACAATATGTTTACGAAAATTGGTGTTTGTCTAATGTCAATACATCTGATGTCCCGGGCCCCATTTTTAAACAGATATTCCGCTGACAACATATCATTTGTAAGGTTTCTTTACACCCCAACGACATTTTCTTGAAAATGGCTCCAAGATTTTTAGCTAGAATAGGCAGTGTTCGCTTACGAAAATGGCTGATTTCCGATTTTCATTGAAAGACCTATGCTTTAAAAAATTGCGGCAGTTAATATTTTTTCGACTTCCTCAAGACCTAAATGAATTTTTCTGTTTCTTCTATTTATAAATGAGATTTTATAAAAATAATTTTGTTGTAATGTAGTAGTAAAGAGCGAATGAAACGGCGATTTAGAAAACTACTAGCGGATCAAATGCTATTCTAGAGTGCGTACACCGGATTCTACTACAATGAAAGTCAAAAAATATTTTGTTTACTCAATTTATGTGATATTTAAGATTTCATGACAAGCATAAATGTTAAGATAATAATTAAACACGCCTGTCATGTAACATTTAAATATTACTTAATTTCCTCTTGAATTATATATTATACATTCCCTTGATTTACTAGCGTAGTGTTTCCTTTTGATGTAATGTTGGGAAAGCTAAGGTGGTTTTAGGAAGCGTGGTTGTGCGGCAATCGTTTGTCTAGAGTTTTTTCTTGAATTTTAATTCTGAGTAATAAGGTAAGGTTACTATTTTAAGTGCAGTGCTTAGAATTTTATTTGGTTCAGTGTTATATATTTTGTTTCATGCACGAGTCACACACGTGTGTTCGGGTGTACACGTATGTTTCTTGTAGAATACTATTTGCTCAAATTGGAAACTTTCTGTATATTTTTTGCTAGTTATTTTAGGTATATTTAATGCTAGTTTGGGAATTACTAACGACGTATGAATATTTTATTCATTCAGGCTCCATCATGCAGTTGTTCGTGAGAGGTGACACAGAGCATGTGATTAACTGTGAGAATGGCGACCTTGTATCATCTATCAAGGTAATTTATAAATGATAAGGATTATGATCCTTAATGTAATACATTTGTGCATGGATTGTGCATGTAGGTGACTTCAGATGATATTTATTTTTTTGTTAATTGTAGGTTATGTTTGTAATTAAATCAAATATTCAAAAAAGTTCATAATCTTAATATTTCGAATATCTTGCATTGATTAGCTCCCTAATTCGATAATGTGGTCATTTAATATTACCTATTATAATACATACTAATCAGTGGTGGAGGTGTATATGTATTATAATTGTATTAATCTCATTCTTTAGTTAGTGTGGTATTCACATCCAGCAAATGGAAATTTTGGTTACATGTGATTGTGAGGTATCAAAAGAATATTTGTAAAGGTGTGATTTAGAATCTGCAAACTTCCAATGGCAGAAAATTGATTTTGAAAATCATGGTCCTTTATGTATGGAGGATAAGTACGAGTAGAAGGCTGTATTTAGTGTCACTTGCTAACATTATAGATAAAAATATAATGTAAATTTACTTGAAATGTGATCATTGAAATGATGTGCATTGTACCAAACTGGTTTTTGAATTATAGTGAGAGTCCTTGTCAATATGATGAAAATGATCAAAATTAAAATTTTAATATCACACAACATTCCGCACTTTAGCAAAATGAAATCTTACACCATCATGAAAACACTGTTGAGAGTTGTGAATATAAATTTAGTGTTTTGGAAAGCGGTAGCAACTTGGTGGCTAATTGATAGTGATGCTACAGAATGGTGAGATATCTCTGACCTTATCTCTCTGCATTCTTGTTGGAATAAAGTTCATGTGGAGTAGTATATTATTTTAATTATGTTAGATACAGAATATGGAAAAGAATGTCCGTTTATGAAATATGAAGGGTATCTATGGGAATGAACTGGTTATGTTTTTTGGCTGTGGTAATTTCACATTTGTAGTTAATAGACTAATGCACAATTAGTTCCATATATGTATCAAAATTTTAACTTTTGCTTGTGTTCTTGATGTGGAATGTAGTTCAATAATGTTAATGTTGACAACTTACAAGGGATTGTGTGTGATATTTAATTGTTCAAAATTATTTTGCTTGAATTTCATTGAAATACATCTTTGTTAGGGATATGTCAATTTTTAATAGCAAGTAGGGAGTTTTAAGCAGTATTAATCAGAATTGGTAGCAATAGTTCTTTGCTATAGCAACGGGTGTTGATATGCAAAACTTTTATAGCTTCAGGGAGGGAGTACATACCCTGTTAATTTTTAATAGATATCGTAAATTTTTGTTGAGAACTGATCGAAAGCATATTTTGGAATTAGCAAAGAAATGCTGTAGAAGTGACAAACTATTGGAAATGAGTTAGGGAGTTCCTTTTTGTAATCAAGAGAATAATAAAAATATATATAGTTGTATTATATATTAGTTGATTCACTTTCCTTATGTTCTTTGGATTTGAACGTATAATAATATATTGTCTCTAACCGAATCTTTGAAGCTCTGGAGCAATTGATTCCTCATTTTGATTGGACCCTTTGAGCAGGTGAGGGAGAAGGAGATGAATGTACACGTTTCTGAATTTACCCCAAAAGTTTGGGTACATTCAGAAACTTGTGTTACTGGAAACTTGCAATGCAGGTTATTCTTATTAAGCATTGCCAGGGGGGCTTAGCAAGGCAGAGTGTAAATAAGTACTCAGACTTCTGCAGGTTGTATTTATTGACTTATGTACTCTGTGTATGAAAAAGTAGAAGTTTCAAATTTCTTCATTGGGTTTGCTCTGTTAGGCTGTTACTACTTTTTCTTATGTCCAAAATTTCCATGTGGTATGTAGTCATAATGCAGCAAAAATGATTTTCTGATTAAATTTTTTTGCTCTAGGGTGTAAACTGTATTAGATTTTGTGGTATATTATTTTATTTTTAAGGTTTTTTCATTCCACTACAAGAATTTTACTTTTGCAGGCCAAAGTAGCTGCTCTTGAAGGCATTCCTGTTGAGGAGGTCTGTTTGTACTGCAGTGGGTCTCCTTTGGGTGATGACACTGCAGTTAGTCAACTTGATGGCAGTGGCTTGGAGTTGACAGTTCGTCTCCGAGGTGGTAAAGTTCACGGTTCTCTCGCTCGTGCTGGAAAAGTCAAGGGTCAGACACCAAAGGTTAGTTGCTTCAAATTTGTATTCACATACATTGTGCATAGAAAGAAGTGTAATTTAAATTTTGAAAATAGATAGAGAAAATACCACTGAATCTTCATTGGTTTTCAAATTATTAAAAGCAAGTATCTAGAAATTTTAAAGGAACATTTTTTACGTGTTAATAATTTTTGGGTATGTGGTAGTGTGATGAAATACAGTTCTTCAATGTCTTTTCCATATTGTCTTTTTCTCAGGTTGAGAAGCAAGAAAAGAAGAAGAAGAAAACTGGTCGTGCCAAGCGTCGCATTCAGTACAACCGACGATTTGTTAATGTGGTACAAGCTTTCGGACGCAGGAGAGGACCAAATGCTAACTCATAATTTTGTGGTGTGAATAAATTTCTTTATAAAATTGGAAAATTGTTCAACTATATTTAAAATTGACAGTTACGAATACCTGTTGTAAATGATGACATAATAAATGTCTTGAACTGTCTTTTATATCATTTCATTATAATTCTTTTATTTTATGACTACAGGATATAATATTTGGAGAAAGCTCATGTGTTATTGGCTTGCAATCTAATTCTCATTAGTTCGAGTTTTGTGGTATAGATCGTCGTTAATTAGGTTCCTTTATGTCATTGAAAGGTCCATTTGTTTTCCTTATAATTCTCACTAGGTTTTGCGGAAATAATAGAAATATGGGAGTGAGGCGACGTTGCTAGCCGAATTCATTTATTATGCTCTGTGAAGTTATGGAGGTTAGGCGAATTTGAGACACAGGTTTCTGGTTGGGTGACAGTTAGGAACCCTGGGATCCAATGATGCTGAGCTCCTGACCTAACTGATAAAAGGCACAGATGGTCTGCGAGGAGACACCCTGACTAAGATTACAGGATATCTCCAAGACAAAGGCTTCAACGACTGTTCACGAGGCACGTGTCAATGATGTCGCAAGAAAATTTAAAAAATCTTGTAAAGATAGGTTAGGCCAATTGCTGTTTGTTTTTTTTCCCTCCAGAAATAGCCATGAATTTTTTTTCTGTACTCCCTTTCTGAAATCATGAAACATAAAAAACTTTTTTGATTCTAATTCTGGGAATTGTTTTTATAATTTTTTGTAGAAATAATTTTTACTTTATATTGTTATAAAGTTTTTTCAAGGGTATTATAAATGACTACAGAACATTTTGTGACTACAAAACGGGAAAGAATGCAATATTGCAAGGTGTTGAGGTAAATACATACTTCAAAATTTTGTTGACAATGGTGACTGGTGAATGATTGTAGTGTGAGAACAAGTGCTTCAAATTATTGCTCAAGATGTTTCTTGAAACCCCTAAAAGTACTGTGTGAATGAGTTGAAAATTGCACAATTTTTGCCTACATTTTTACAATAATATTGCTTATAAAATGAAGTTTCACTCTTCTATAATCTTAGGCATTGTCCATTCTATTAGGGGACCTAAACATTGAGAAAAATGTGAAAAACGTTATTGATATTACACTAGTATATTTTCTGTAAATTTTTATTAAAGAAAATTTAACCATTTTGTTAACTGATTTATGCTGCAAATATTATGTTCTATAAGATTTTGTATGTGAATTAATTGTGAGAAAAATGTTAATTAATGCATGTGATAATAGAAATTAATGCTATAGTGTCTGTTTTCGTTATGGAAAGCAATGTCATTCAGGTAGGTTAAATTCTGCACATTAAAGGGAGCATTTGCAAAAAAATTTAAGTTTTAGGTTTATAATTACAGTTTTGTATTGCATGCCTGAGATAGCTATCAGGGTGTGTACAGACTCTGCCCTTTGATACGAAGAGTTGTGGGTTTGAGTCCTGCCTTTGGCATTGTTGCTTGTCTCTTGTCTGTCACGTGTAACAAATAGTTATTATAAAAAAAGTGAAGAAAGTCAAAATATTCAATTTACAAAAATGACATGGAACGAATTTTGAGGTAAATAACTGCAAACACTGCAAAATGTTAACTGCAAACACGTATTTCAGATTGGGTATCTCTGTCTTGTGCATCAAGATGAAAACTCTGGTTGAGGTTAACGCAATGAAAATGGAAATGTTAACTATGGTTTCAGAATATTAAACTTGCAAACACTTTTTGAAACTTAATAAATTTTGTTGCTGTGTAAATTGTGGGAAACCAACACTACGTTTCATCGATAATGGTAAAAAATAGGCTTAGTTTGTAGGTTACATATCATTTGTGAATAGTGTAAATGTAACAATGCTGTTACAGTTCATAAATTGCAAACTCCCAATATGAATTAATTTAGAGGTTATTCATGAAACAAATTTTGCCTCTTTTATTTTAAAAATTGCTACAGAGATGCCGATACTGTATCAAATGTATGGCAAATGCATTGGAAAAATTAGGTTTACTTTTGGTATTATATGGTCTCCAAGCTGAACAAAATTTGAGAAACTTTTAGCTGCAGCAGATGAAAATTTTTGTAGTTGTAGGCAATTTTAATTTTGTTTAAACAATTTTTTTGCTCTAAAACGGTACCAAATGTTTTTATTAAATTTTGACCTCGGGTCTCATGTTCATTGAAATCTGATTTTTCATAAATTGCAAAAACAAGAAATTTTTTCGATGTCTTTCTACAATACTATTGTGAAGTAAATTTTTTTTCTCAAAGAAACGTGTTCATCGAAAACAGGTCTTGAAATAGGGTCACTATAATATTTCGAAAATGAGATTTTCATTTGAAGAATAATTTTGCTTTAAAAGCAGGCAGTTTTTAAATTTTAAATAGGGGGAATGTACTCGTACCAGTAAATAGCCATTTTAAGTGGTGATCATTAATGGGTTGCAACTATTTACATGAACAGCAATCAGAATCAAATAAAACTGTATGAATGTAGAATTTACAAAGGCTACAGAATAGTTCTGCTATGATGTTTTATGCAGCAAGAAAAGCTGTGTTTAAAATTTCAGTATCTTTTACTGTGCACTCCAGAGAGTCACCAAATGTTGCCAGTAGTTGACTGGACAGACACCAGTTAACGCCCACCCACCTTAAAACTGTGAACGTGTGGAAATTATATTTTCCTTGATTTGATGTATTATATTTCCATGCTCCTAAAATGGAGCGGTCAGCATATAGCATGAACAATGCCTTTGTATTCATGTGTGTAACAGTAAACGTGTGTGATGAACAGTTAACTTAATTCACTGATGAGTTTAATATGCATTTAGTTATCTTAGATGTAGATTAATTCCTATAAAAGTCTCCTTTATTTTTTATTTTATTTCCTACCCATTTGGCTCTTCAGGCCTTTCAGGAGTTTTTTTTTACAAAATATACATTACGTGAAGAACATAAGTCTCTTCAGGGCACAAGTACAGTTACTTGAGCTTGTTTTAATCTATATACAGTTCCTATTTACATTTAGTACAAAAATATAACATTGAGTAAAAATACCACATGTGTGAATAAAATATATGTACAGTTATTTAATGGCATATAGTGTTCACAACCTTATCACCAGCAATCCTTGACGGCTTTCAGCGATCTTTTGGAAAGCGTGATAATATCCTGGCTGGTGCGAGTTGTATGGCCAAGGTTCAAAGCTCTTTTGCTTGGACAAGCTTCAAGCCTTAAATTATAAAAAAAATGATAGTTTATTTACGTACACTGTAATGCAACTAATGTTTAATTCTCCTTGGTTTTGACTATTGGGAATAAATCAAGGAGCTTTGGTAACAAGTCTTAGAAATTTGTTTTCGATTTCTTACTATTAATATGTGTGTTTGCAGGGCCTCCCCATGCCGTGCATGCATAGGTAAACGATGGACTAATTATAGATTAACAAATTGTTTCTCTGTTTTCTATTCTTAACACAGAGTATATAGAGAGACATTACCCATTAGTAAATAGAGTTTCACTCTATTTACTAATGGGTAAAGTTTGACTATTTTTGCATAGGTTTTGTTAGCAACATCAACTGTGTGGTTTTTCCATGTTAATCTCTTATCTAATTTAACTCTTAAGTATTTGTGACGGATTGATTATTGTTTATCCAGAGAATAGGATTGTTACTGATTGTTAAAACTGGAGGGGTTATAAATCTTTTAAGTGAGAAAATTTTAGCTTGTGATTTGTTTGTGTTTATCTGGATTCTCCATTTAATCAGGTATTTAAATCATTTTGGAGGTCTTCCAGGGCAATAATCTGTTCATGTTGTGGGAGAATGGCAGTGTCATCTGAAAATAAGGCAATTTTGGTATCCATTAATTCCGGAAAATCGGCTAGGTACATTTTGCAAAAAAGTGGGGAATCTTGTGGAACTCCACCTTTGCAAACAAATCTATAACTCTTAAAATTTGGTGTTCAGTCAAATGATTTGCCCTAAAGCTGAACTGGGCATCAGGTATCACATTTGTTGCTCATAAGAATTTATTTATCTGAGCTAAAATCCGTGTATCAAACACTTAAGCTAATTAGTCTGTAATTATCTAGTAGTTATGGACATTTATTAGGTTTGTTTATTGGAATAATTATTACATTTTCCAATTGCTTGGGTAATAAGCTAGTCTTAAAGCTGAATTTTTGGCAATTCTTTTATTATTTACTAGTTATTAGGATGTGCCCAGCTACTTTTCTCTTTTTGTCTGTTTATTGTGCGTTTAAGTTCCATGGGAGAAATGAATTTTGTTATTACATCTGCAGAGTATATAGGAGGGTTTGAATTTCCTCATTGAACATATGTTTTACTATTGGATTGGGTTGAAAGATATTTAAGAAGTGAACAGCAAACACCTCTGCTTTTTCATCTGTATAGAAGGTGCTGGTGCCAGATTTTTAATGGTGGCATTCTAGGTTGCTCTCTGGTAACCTTTTTGATAGTAGTCCTAATGAAGGTGAGTTGGGGCTAATATGCGCCAAAATGAACTAAATCTGTGTTCATTGATAATGGATCTATACTTGTAACAGGAAATCAAACAATTTTCACTGTAAGTATGCTTAAGAAATAATAAATAAATAGGAAATGTAAAAAAAACTTCAAAAAAATAACAAAAATACTTTTTGTAAACAGAAAGAATTAATGAATACAGAATGCAAATTCTACTCATACAGAAAATCTGCCACTAGAAAAACAGATTTCTCATCCTAAATGAATTTTACATTAAAATTTAGTAAGAGATTGTTATTTTTTTTAACACAACCAACCATCCTGTACTTCCATTTCATTATATATATTAATTGCGTATCAGTCCAATTAAAGTACACGGAAAACATCAGACTTATATACTCCTCAGGTTATATTGCTATGTTTGTACCATATGTGGTCAACGTATTCTGGCCATTTTCAAAGACTTTTGTCAACGATTTTTCTTATCTTAACATCTGATTCAGCGTCTTCCTTCGTCACTTATTCATAGATTATATTGCATCATACTATAACATTTTTATAGAAATTAACTCCGCGCATCTCACTAACAGAGTGAGTTGCTAGCATTTTAAAATTGTTTTCTGAATCCGCATTTGAAGCAAGTAAAATTGCATCTGAATCTGACTCTCTTAACCTATTTCATAAGTTTGATTTTTTTGTTCTTTTTCTATTGATTTGCCATGGTGGCTCTTCCTTTTTGAAGTTGCTGCAAGGGGAATTCATTTTCTGTTTCCCTTTACATTTATCATTCTCGTATTGTGGCCATTGTTGAATACTTCGAACGTCATTAATTGTGATTTAGTTGCTGTGACTCCATGTGAAATATTTGCAGGTTCATCAGTAATTATATTATTTTATGACACTTGAAGGGCTGCAGTAAGCAGTATTATCTAAGTTCATTTTTGTGAATTGTTATTTTCTATTGATAGAGACGAACTGTTTTCTTATGAATGTTCTGACGAGCTAGAGATAAATATTGCCAACATTAATTTTGGATTTTACTTTCCAAATCAATTCCGTTTTCTGCTGCAATGAAATTCTGCAATTCTTGGTGACATCGCAGTTTCTAATATAATGAGCGCGGCCTGAGAGAATGAGAGCCAAAAGAACTGGTACAGCCATATGTATTGAAATAAAGATATCTGAAACCAATCAGAATACGGTGCACGGGTCGTTAAGGACTATATAAGACAACACTATTGGCACTCTTGTTGGATCTTTTTTTACTACTTCAATGGCAGGTTAATGCGATTTAAGCGAGTTTGGACATGGTGTTATTGTCGGTGTAAGAGATGGAGCATAGCATCTCCGAGGTCGCGATGAAATTTGGATTTTCCAGTATAACCATTTCGCGAGTGTACCGTGAATATCGGGAATCCAGTAAAACATTAAACCTCCCGCTTCGCTGCGGCCGCAAAAAGATCGCGAAAAAACGGGGCGACGATGTCTGAGGAGAATCATTACACGTCATGGAAGTGCAACCCTTCCGCAGTTGGCTGCAGATTTCAATGCGGGGACATCAACAAGTGTCAACGTGCGAACCATTCAACGAGACATCGATATGGGGTTTAGGAACTGTGGGGTCATATCAGTCGCCTTGTACAAACACTGTCCTTGTACAAAACCTTGTACAAACCGTCGGTGGAAACAGCGAGGTGACGCAGTTCCGTCAGCCGGCCCAGAAGGTAATATAAACGGACCCCGGACCTAAACTCCTGATTCTTTAATTTCAGGCCCAGCGGTAAGTGGTAACCAGGAAACATTCCCTTCTCGTAACGGGGTTCAATATTGTTTTTAGTGTAATTATTGTACATAGTATTTCGGTGTTGGAGCAATTTTTTTCAAAATAAATACTCAATAAATTACAAACCGTTCAAGTCTGTTATTTATTGCCCCGGCAGAGACGCCACAGAACCGAATGCCTACTGGTGTATACCCTTGGATGACTGCACGACACAAAACTTTACGCCTCGCCTGGGCCCCTCAACACAGACATTGGACTGTTGACTGGAAACACGTTGTCTGGTCTGACGAGTATCGTTTCCCATTGTTTCGAGCGGGTGGACGTGAACGAGTATTGCAACGTCATGAATCCATGTGCTCTGCATGTCATCAAGGGACTGTACAAGCTGGTGGAGGCTCTGTGACGGTAAAGGACGACGGCGACGACGCTGCCACCACCACTACCGCCACCACCTCTACTATTACCACCACTAATACTTCTATTTCTACTACTAAAGCTGTATCATCCTTTGTATAGTTGAAACGTGAGTACGATCTCCTTTTCCTTCCCACAGTCTTCAATTTTGGAAAATAGGTAATCTAAAAATAAAAGTATTACCTCATTAGTATTCACTCATCTTGTTATAACCAGTAAATTTCTATTGTTTCCCGGTGAATGGCCGACATTAATTGCAAGCCGGTCATGTACTGGTGCCTAGCAATGCTCTTTTCGAACTTCCAGTGGCCTAGAATCTTGCTCAATATTTGTACACATACATACATTTATTGGAATTGCTATTGGTTATGACTCGGTGGTAGTCAATTAACCATAATTACAATAATAATAGCAGTACAATACAAAACGAGGTTGCAATTATCATGCTATCACTAATATTAAGAATTATCACAATTATTTCAATTATCATGATATACAATTATATGTTGGTGACACTAAACATCAATACAAGCTACATCGATATTCGCTAAATTATATTGTAAAAAGGCATTGATCGCATTCTCTGCAATACACTACACAGTTTTGCTTTCAATTACACTGATCAGCACTTAGTTACTCATTTAGTATCTATTACTCTGTTCTAACTTATTTCTAAAACTTGGGACACTTAATGGAAAGGCTTTGAAAGTTGCAGCGAGTAAACTGGTCCAATCTTTAATTGTTCTGGTACAAAATGAAAAGTTTCCAAGACCTGAATTTTGTTCTCTTGTTCGAATTTTGTGGGTGTGATCGCTACGACCGAAATAATTTGGTTTATCTAGTCTAACCTGAATTTCCTTCCAAGCTGGTCAACCTACGTACGATTTATAAAGTGCAAAGTCTCGCCGTTCTTCTCGTTTCTAGAGGTTCCCATGACGTTTTAATTGCGTTCTGTAGGTAGATTTTTCGGTTCGACTTTCTGTACGGATCCCAACATGCCGCTCCAAGTTCCATAAGAGGGCCAACCAGCAAAAGATACGCTAATTCTGTGGCGTTTGTAGAACTTGTCTTTAGAATTCGCATTTCAAAATGCAAAGATTTCCATGTTTTTTCTCACAACTTCTTTTGTATGCTTCTCCCGCCCTAATTTACTGTCTAGATGAATGTTTAAATACTTGCCTAAAGATGTTTGGAATGATGACCTCACCGAAACAATAGTCTGGT